TAAAAAAAATTAATTAAAAATAAAAAAAAAGTTATTACTAGAAGGAAATTGAAAAATAATAAAAAACTTAATTAAATATATGTAATGGATAAATATGTAAATAAGAGGTCATACATACGTAGCATTTTTAAACTAAATACATCAAATAACTAATTGGATGCCATGCTTAATACAATTTGGTCTCTGATTGTGTCACGCACATGATTCATTTGTCTTGATCTAGGTAAATTTGAAGAGGATGTCTCACCAGCTTCATCATGATTGTCTTCGTCAATTGTACCTTCAGATTGAGCTTCTATGAAATCTCTATCAGTTTCAGAATTTCTTCGGAGGAAATTATGTATAGCCATTGTAGCACAAACTACTTGGACTTGAGTTTTATACTTGTAACTTGGCATCTTATCTAAGATGCGAAACTTATTCTTCCACACCCCAAAAGTCCTTTCTATAGTGCACCTCAAACTTGAATGGTAGTAATTGAAGACTTCTTTATAATTTTCAAATCCCGGTTGTCGCATGAAGTCTGGAAGGTGATAGCGCTCACATCTGTACGGACCAAGATATCCTGGTGGAGTTGGATAGCCAGCATCGACCAAATAATACTTCCCTAATAAATCATGAAATTATGTTGACATTGTGAAATTAATGAAAATATCAAATGAATTTCATATAATTAAAATTGAAGCTACTGAAAATATACCTGGAGGTGGATGAGGGAAATCCAAGGCTGGAGTTGAGACAACAGTGTTAAACACACGAGCATCATGTGCAGTACCTTCCCATCCCGCTAACACAAAAGTGAAGCACATGTCCCAATCACATACAGCCATGACATTCTGTGTCGGATATCCCTTTCTCCCGATATATTTGTCTTGCTTCGAAAGACTCACCACACATCGTACATGAGTGCCATCAATTGCTCCTATTGCATCATTGAAATATGGCGAATATCGTTTATCGTTTTTTATTTTTGGGTGAGTTACAGAAAACGTAGGATCGAGTGGTTTGATATATTCCCTGGAAAGACTAAGGCAAGCCTGTAATACTCTATGAAAATGCCTGCTTACAGTTTCTCCTGAATGTTGAAACCTTTCTTGAATCATCCTATTACATTGTCCATGACCAACCGTGTTCAAAAACATACCAACAATTTCTTCCACTCCCAGATACTTAGAATTTTTTAAACCATGTTCGACCGTTTAGAGCATAATCGCATGAACATTTCTTTTTCCATTCGAAACATGTCATAACACCGAATTTCATGATCTCGCAAAATTTCTTGCACCCATAAATTACCTGTTTGCTGACTAGTTCTTCGTGGCTCTTTGCACACATAAGGCATCACATATTGACTCACCAATACAGCTACCTCTTCATATTGTGTTATCTCTTCATCTAAAAGGGAAATCAATTGAGACTGTTCATCTTCCTCCGACTCCTCTTCAGACTGTTCATCTTCCTCCATCCACTCAAACGTAAATTGATTGTTCCAATTTGCCATAGATAATGTCACCTGTGAGTGTGGTTAAATTCAACTGTAAGAATTTTTTTAAACGACAAATAAATATTTTTAGGTATGTGCAAATAAATATTTCTTTCTGTTAAACATGCAAAGACATAAAATTAGTCTAAAAACATTCATAAGCTGCAATTACCATTATAAATAACACATGTAACTTAAAAACATTCAAAACATTCATAGTCAGTTAACAAGTTACATAATTTCATAGTTCCACAAACATTAACTGAAAAACATATAATAACAACTCTGGTCCGAGTTAGACAAAATAAAATCATAACATGCGTCCTAAAATATAGTTCAAGCAGGCGGGGGTTTCAGCCATGATGGTGGATTGTATGCCATATCCTGTAGCCATGCAACCAAGTATTCTGGCTGTCCTTTTAGTGAAACAACCATTTCCCGAACACTCTTGTGCAACAGAAGTCTTAAGCACCGGTTTCGGAAATCAGAGTCACTTGTAATTTCCTCAAGGCAGAGCACTTCGGCCGTAACCTCAGAAATTGATACCTCTTTTATTTTCTTAAGAGTTGCAGCTCTATCCTTAGATGCAGTAGCTATTTCACTAACTGAATCTGCTATTTGTCTTGAGGCTGGAAGTTTTTGCTTTGTTTGCCTGCTAGACCCTTCACCTCTCTTCCTCTTCCCATGGCTTCCTGAACCACTAGGTGCAGTATTTGCTGTTAAGTTTACGCCTGCCATCTCATCCGTAACTCCTATACTAGCACCTCCAAGATCTTCTTCGCTATCCCCCGATCCTTCAAGGAGATCTGTATCAACTCTATACACATTCTCTTCATCATCCTCTTGTGTCTGAGGTTGGGTTAAAGACGGTGCCAACATATCCTCTCCAGATGCTATCACACCCTTGAATATCGTGTTTAATTCATGAGCAAACTTTAACCCCTGGTACCTAAACTTTTCATACTGGGGATTCTCCTGCAAGAATACAATCAACAAAAATAAAAAGCCTATAACAAGTAATAACACAGTTCATAACTCAAGATCAACAATTATATACCAGTTTTTTCTTCTCCCACCACTCATTTGTTGCCACCACTGTATTGTTTATAGAGTCCCAACCTACACCAGTTTCTTTGTTCAAATCAACCCATGTCCTCCAATCCTTCCTCAAGCTATCAAGCCTATTTTTCAATTGCTTCCTCTCATATGATTTTCCTGTTTTTGCATTGAATGCAGAATGAATGTTGTTCCACCCAGTCTTTGAAAATGATGTTCCTTGACGATTTTCCCGGTAGATTTGCTCCATGCATTCTTTAAGTAACACCTCTGTGGTGCTTGTATCCCATGTTGCCTTACCTTTATCTTTGTTCATAATTCTATTGAAAAATGTCAATCAAGAATGCAAAAGGGAGTTACAGTGAACCAGAGCACTTTTCTTCCAACAATGCAGAAATATTATACAAATTCAACAATCTTAAATTAGAGGCACTTTACAAACAACTTCTCAAGAGGCAGACACCTAAAAAATATCAGATATTTATGTTTCAAAATTCTTTTTATGTTTCTCTTGTAAATAAATATGAGAGGAAATATCTAATATATATAATATTTATGAATTATAACCTCAGAATCATATATATTTAGGTTTGTAAAACATACTCATCAACAATAAGCGCCACATTAATTGAAACACTGATCTTCACATTTTCAAACTAAAAAAACACCAACTTTTCGGAGCTTGTCACAAATAATTAACAGGAAAGGGGTACTTAGAACGACAAATCATCATCAGAAGAATCAAAGAATAGCGGTTTTGCCTCCTACGATACTACCAGGTCATACTACCATCAGTTTTTCCTACTACACTACTACCATTCGACAGCCAGGCCACATTAATTGAAAGAGCATCAGATCAAGAGCAAGAACATCAGATCAACACTTCTAAAATCAATAAGGCTATGGGTCCGAATTATCTACCAATGGCAGCCAACAACATGAATCGAGGACCAGCAGATCTAGAACCAAAAACACATACCTCTTACCAGCTGAACGAACGAGACTTGTGGATTAGGAGCAGACACGGTCGGCGGCGGTGAAAACGGACGGACTGCCTTGCAACCGAACAGAGGAAGAAACGATCAAACGAACAACCCAGCAATATTTGGAGGAGCTGAACGAACGGCCACAGTCCAAAAGAACCAGAACAGAGGAGACGGTGGAACACGACGGAGACACGGCGGGAGACGGCGGTGACAACAGACGTCGACCCTAGAATGCAATCGAACAGAGGGAGAAGAGCGACAACCGAACGATATTTGGAGGATCTGAACGAACGGCCACAAGCCACCCACTCCCACACAAGAACCGGAGATGACACGGCAGGAGACGGCAGCGACAATGGACGGCAACGCTGGCTTCAACTGGGCAGAGGAAGAGGAAGAACAACCGAACGAACTGGCAGAACTGACCGAACGACCGAACGACCCACTCCCACACAAGAACCGGAACTGATGAGACGGCGGACACGGCGGGAGACGGCGGGTGCACGGCGGGGATATGGCAGAAGACGACGTCGTGAGCGAGGCTCCCTTTTTCAGCTTCAGATCGCGTTTGAAAATCAGAGTGCCGAGTGCGTGTGTGGGTATTTTCTTTTAGCTAATAAACATGCAGAGGGTAGGTAGGTAAAAATATTTAACATGCTACCAACGGTTTCTCAAACGCACCGGCCTCCAAAAAAAAGCTCCACAAATCAACTTCTCCCATAAGTCCATCTGAGCCTCTAGAAGTCAGATTGGGCCACTGTGAATCCAAACAACTCAAAAACGCAGCCACATCAGAAGCCTGATGGAAACGCACGTTTGGGCCCCCAAACGTGATGCCAAACGGGCCCTTAATCGTCAAATAGCAGCAACAATTCACCTCTTTCAACTGCCTAGACCTTATTCTTCACCACTTGGTGATTTCCCTCCTCCCAAATTGAATCAATTTCACTGCAACACCTATAGACAAAAAAACCAGGGAAAAAACAAATCTCGGAAAACCTTACCTCTGTATGAATGCACATCACTTCCACAGCGACTCCTTTGCTCGGTGATTCTCAATGATTTGGAGCACAACAGTTTCACAACCCCCCCTCTTCTCTTTCTTCCCCCTCAACCATACTTGAAACCTGCAACTCCTTCTTTTCTTTCTCTGAAAATTTACTTAGGGCAATCTAGTCATTTTAATTAAATTTCAAGATCCTTATTTAGTCATGTGTGACTAAATTAGAATTTTTCTTATTCAAGTGATTATTTAGGGTTTTTAAAATTTTAGTATAATTTTTGTGTAATTTTTTCTTTAACTAATTGATTGTTATTCACAAATTAATTATTTAAAATTTATAATAAGAATGTAAAGAATTATTTAATATTTAATATTTAATATTAGTATTTTTGAGAATATATATATATATATATATATATATATGGTCAGTCAGACAGTCACGAAACATAATTAACGTGACTTCACATACTGTTTTGCGTTGGAAAAAAGGAAAAAATGACTCCACTCTGTAGCAGCACATCTCATCGCCATCACGATCTGGCTGTCCCGCTCACGCCGAACCACGTTCGCTCAGTATCAGTCTCAGTCCCAACCTCATAGAGCATCTTCAATTTCAGATTCAAATCTCTCTCTCTCTCACGCACCGTCTTCGTCCTCCATGGAAGAAAGCAGCAACAGTAAAGCCCTCATCAACCATTCCTCCACCCGAAAAGGCGGCTGGCACGCAGCCATCTTCATCATCTGTAAGTCGCATTTGAATCCTAGTTCATACCGTCTCGGCGACGTCGATTACAATTCCATTGGTTCAAAAATCGATTGATGTTTCTGAGCAAGATTAGATCAGATTCACTAACTTCGTGATCTACCCCTCTCGCAGCTGTTGAGTTCGCTGAGAGATTCGCGTACCAGGGATTGGCGTCAAACCTGATAACTTACCTGACCAATGTTCTTCGCCAGCCGGTTGCGACGGCGGCCAAAAACGTCAATACTTGGGTCGGCTTTTCGTCTCTGTTTCCTTTGCTGGGCGGCTTCGTCGCTGACTCATTTCTGGGTCGTTTCAACACCATCCTCTTGTCCTCCTTCATCTATCTGCTGGTGCATTTTTTTTCCCCCTTGTCTTATCTGTATTATTTTATTATTTTTAATAATCCTTGGTGAGCTGTCTTTGGGTACGATCAGATTTCAACCCCTGGTTCTAGTTGAATTCATTGTTGCGGAGGTATAGTACCCACAAAGGGATTTCTTTCGTGCCAAACTTTTCGTTCAGCGACAGCGACTGTGACTCTGTGAGAGTAAATTCTGATAGAAAAGTTCGATTTAAATGTATTTTTTATACTTTTTATTTCTATATATATAATTTTTATTTTTTCACCAATTAGTATATAAGTCACATGATTTAGCTTCTATCCTATCCTTTTTGTTTAAAAATTCACTTTCTATCGGAGATCAATTTTTATTTTTTTTATAACATGGCCTTAATCCAATTTCGAGTGAGAATGTTAGGATTTAACATCCCATAAAATTATTATTATAATTATAACGTGAGATTATAAAGAAGATGCATAAATAAATACAAATTGCTAAACTTGATCTAAACGATTCTGTAATGGGAAAAAATAGAGATAATTGCGAGTCTAATAGTGTGAAAGCTCTTTGTAAGTGGGAGGCCGGGGTCAGAGAGAATTCAGGTCCAAGTACATGTTTTGCTTTAATGAATATTGTCATAATATTATTTTAAAATTATATAGGCACATTATTTAAATATTCTCTTCCAATTGGTATCCAGGAGAGGGCTTAAATCTTTGTATTGTGATTTTTGATGCTGTCTACCATAGTTGCTCCCTGAAATGGGAAAAATTCTCATTTACTGTTTTTACGCCAAACCAATTACAGGGCATGATTCTATTGACACTATCTGTGTCAGCAATAAAACACACAACCCTGTTTTTTGTGGCCCTTTATATTCTATCAATTGGAGATGGCGGGCACAAACCGTGCGTACAGACATTTGCTGCCGATCAGTTTGACGACGACACGCCACAAGAGAGAGATGCCAAAAGCTCATTCTTCAATTGGTGGTACCTGGGAGTTGTTGGCGGTTCTACTCTTGCCGTTTTCGTTGTGATATATCTTCAGGTGATTTTTAATTAAATTCTTAACTTATTAATTAAGCAATTAAGTAACTCAATTATCTTCTCTTTTCAACCCGGATTTGCAAACTTATGGCCTTTTCTTTCACTTTCAAGAAAGCACTAGCTAACTGTCCAATCTAGTTAATAGTTTTGCTTCTCTCTGTCCTTGTATCTAATGAGGGTAATTCTTCCACTTTCGAGAAAATTAATAATATATTCCTTGTATTTTTGATTCGGTCACAATTCAATCCCTAAATTTTAACTCACCGCATTATACTTCCTGAATTTTGATTAAAAATTTTTTCCTTAACTTTCTCAAATATAACCTTTTTTAATCTCAACTACTCATTTTGATCTTTTTATCAAATAAGAAAATTTATGAAAGCTATGTGTGTTTTATGAGTTTCCTAAGATGTCATTCTTAATCTTTTTTTTGGTTTTTGGCGCGTGAACAACTACTATATGCAAAAATAGGACAATGTTGGGTGGGATGTGGGCCTGGGAGTACTAGCTGGCGTCTTAGCTTTAGCACTGGCACTGTTCTTATTGGGCATCAAAAGGTTTAGGATGGAAGGCCCAACTGGAAGCCCATTTACTAGTATGGCCCAAGTTTTTGTGGCTTCCGCTCGAAAGTGGCGAGTGGAGATGGAGACCCAACCTGGTTCTCATGTTTACTGGTATGGCGATGAGGAGGACGTTGGACTCCATTTCCAAGGTCAACCCAAGTCTCATTCTTTGGCTCGCACTGATCAATTCAGGTGCCTCTCATCATTTCTCTGGTGGTTAATTTTAATTTTATAAAATTGTACATTAATGAGGGACTTTTCTCGCCAAATTTCTTTATCATCCACAAATGCAAATATGGATTGGCTTGTATAACCCCAGAGATCTTCCAAAAAGCCAGTTTGAAAGCCCAAGCATCAATCTGAGCCGAAAACCTATGTTCAGACGAGCAGTGGAGTCAAATGATTTTTTTCCCCCAAAAGGCAAGTTAGACCTATTGCCGCACCTTGGAACTTTTTGGGTTGTAAAAGCCAAATGGGTATTCGAACTAATTTTTTTACAAAAGCATATTGAAACATAAATGAGATTACACTGACTTTTATCCTAACTTCAATCTGTAAAATGCAGTTGGAATAGAAGTCACTTTTGCAAATGTTAATCCAAACAAGTCCAGCATGAGATCTTTAAAAGACCATGTTGAAGTTAGCTCAAACAAATTCTAGTGGATACTCACTTTCTTGTTGGCATCACTTTTCCTGAAATACAAAGTGGAAATTTTGTTGTAGATTTCTTGAGAAGGCAATGATCATTGATGACATTGATGCTTCAAGCAAAACAAAAAATCCATGGAGACTATGTTCAGTAACTCAAGTAGAAGAAGTCAAGCAAGTTCTTCGTCTCATTCCCATATGGCTTAGCTGTTTAATGTTCCATGTTGTCCAAGCTCAGCTCCACACTTTCGTCACCAAACAAGCCAGCACAATGGTACGTACAATCGGACCACACTTTCAAATCCCTCCTGCGTCACTTCAAGGTACCATTGGACTCACAATCCTCATCACAGTGCCAATATATGACCGGGTTTTTGTGCCCTTAGCTAGAAAATTCACAGGCCATCACTCTGGCATCACAGTTTTGCAAAGGATTGGTATAGGTCTATTCTTGTCCATACTGAACATGATTGTCTCGGCCTTAGTAGAATCGAAAAGGATTAGTGTTGCTAGACAATATCATCTTTTAGATCGACCTGAAGCTATGCTACCGATGAGCGTATGGTGGTTGTTGCCTCAGCATATGATCACTGGTGTTTCTGATGCATTCACCACTGTAGGACTGCAAGAACTGTTCTATGATCAAATGCCAGAGGCAATGAGAAGTGTTGGTGCTGCAGCATATATAAGCATTGTAGGAGTTGGAAGCTTGGCTAGTAATGTAATTATAGTTGCTGTTGAGGAAATTAGCTCAAATTTTGGTGAGAAATCGTTGGGAAACAATTTGAACAGGGCACACCTTGATGAGTTTTACTGGGTTTTGGCTGGTTTAAGTGCTTTGAGTTTGTGGGTTTATATTTATCTTGCTAAGAATTTTGTGTACAAAAAGAGTAATTATGGTGGTTGAAACTTTGTTACCAACTGCCGGTTTCTAGTCTCAATGCCATGATAAATTGTTCCATATGACAAAGGAAAGAGTATGGAAGTGAAATAAAATTTTGTAAATATTCTGATTTAGCATTATTCCTAATATTAGTTAACCGAATTATTCACAATAAAAGTGTAATATTTTGATCCTTTTTCCCCCCTGAAATGTTTAGTAGTGATGGTGTTTATATTTGACTTGCTACCGTTTTTATTTTTAATGATGAGAAATTGTTTATTGCTATCCAGTTACATTTTGCAGCTTTTGTGTGTGTGTGTGTGGGCGTGTGCGTGTGTCTATCTCTGTTTATGTTTATTGGTACCTAAGGGGTCATTGTTAGTTTTATTATAAAGTGTCCATTAGTAATTAATAATCAAATCACATAATATACTGATCTTAAAACCTCTGAATAATTAAAACATGTTTTTGTGACCAACCCCATCCAACATTTTTTTGTTACCAACACCAATCTAATCCAGCTAAAAACATATTGACCCGAAAATTAATTTTTCGGAAGGTCATAAACTTAGCCCAAGTATAATATTTGTCAATTAAAACATTAAACAGCTTTTGATACAAACAATTATAAATTATGTCCACTTCAAAACATTTGCTGAATCCTATCATAATATTATGCCCCTTACTTTACCATAAATCTTCCACACTATTGTTTTCAGATTATGTAACTCACGATTCAATACTTCGATTGGAATTTCAAATTCAACTTTAATTCCTCAATTTCCAGATATTAGGATTACTAAATCAAGACATATTAACCTCATACTTCAACTATAATCAGAATACTGACTTGTGTGTTGCACGAGTGCGTGGAATCCATTCTTAAGTGTAGGATTGATTGATGTAATAAATCATAATTACCAACAAAATAACTATTTCAAAAACTATTATCAAGACGAATTATAGTTATCAAATCTTATTGCTATTAATAAGCCACTGGTTTTCCGCAAAAAAATCATATAATGACTGATGGTTATGACTAATTAATTAGTTTCACACCATTGCCAAAGTCTTCACAGTGCCTAGTATGAGGAAAGAAAGAAGTAATATTGATAATTGTTGGAACTACAGTCTCCCTTAGGTGGGTAGTGAAAACAAGGATCCATGGACATGGCTCTTTCACATGGAGGATCTGGAACCTCTCCACTGAATGTGCTCTTCAGAATCCATGGCTTCAAATCTCCAAGGCCTTGAGCATGAGCAACATACCCAAAAGTAGAAAACGAACTTGTAATCAACGCATCAGTCAAACCCAGCAGATACATCTCAGTCCAGGCCTTCATGTTGTGCTTATTGTCGTTTGAGCTTTGATTCTCTTCATGACTTGGCTGATAAACTCTTATCACCTCATTGCTTTCACTTGTATTTGCCATATACATAGCTTTTAGCTTATTTCCATATTCTGAATATAAAGAAATGACAAGAACAGCTTTTGAGGTATTATGATTCTGGGATGGAGTAGAAGTTACTGATGTTCTCCCATCTGATTGAGGCAAAAGATTGTTCTTGGAGGTACAAGCTAAGATTTTGTTGAGAACAACTTGATGGGGTTCTTTTTGTGTGTCAAACAATCGAATCTGGAGGCCAATCTTCTGAGTTGCCATTGACAAATGATTCTGATAGAAGTTGCTGATGAATTTGCATGCAATATTTGATGGGTGAAAAAGATAGTTTCCTAGAAGGTGAAAGATGGTGTCTTTTTCTGGGAACATTTTGGTTAGATCTTGCCTGAAAGATGGGATCATGAAAAGAGAAGGAACAAAGTACTGATTTGACTGCAAAATCAACACAGGAACATTCTGCAGAAGATCTTGAGCAGAACCACAGTGGAAAAAATCATAATGATCATCATTGGTGTGTCGTAGATGGAGAACAGAAAGATCGGACAATTCCTTATGAGAGAAATCCCTAGGTAATAAGTAATAACCATGATGAATTTGGAAATGGCTCACAGAAGAGACCATCCATGTTAGATTCAAATTTGACAAGAAGAACTCTGTCAGTGAGAAGAGCATAAAGAAATGCAGAAACTAAGCTTAACATTCTGTTTCCTAAGCCATCCATGGCTGTCCAGATAAGGTATTTGCAGTTGATAGCAGAAGCATGGTTGTTGCTAGAATTGGATTTGGAGTGATTTCCGATGAAGGAGAAGGAACCTGCACAGCTTCTGTGAAGATGTTCATAGTGACGAAGCTTGGATTTCGAATGTTGGGAGGGCTTGTGAGGGGAAGCTTTGCGGCATAAGTGAGATTCATGTCTGCTTAAGCATGATCCTCTATCAAATGTTGAAACCAATAGTCCATCAAGCAGTTCATTGTCCTCATCATCACTCATCACTAAATGAAGTATATTCTGTGTAACCATGTGATTCATACTTTTGACCTGTACATTGGAAGACAATGCATCAAAATCCAATAGTTTATTAAGGATTTTCAAGTGAATAGAGATAAAGACTTAAGTTCTTGGTGGGTTTCGCATATCAAATAGAACCTATCAAACCTCCACTTGGTCCCTTTCACCTAAATGATTCCGGCGAATGATAAAAAAAACTATATTAATATTTATATAAAAGACTTCTGGAAAAAAAAAAATCTGAAATTGTAAAGTAACCTTGGCAACTTCATATAGCGCTTCTTAAAACTCAAATGCCACAATATCAACACTAAATACTCCTCCGGTCCTAATTATAAGACCCAATTGACTTTTTTGAGGAGATTAAGGAAGTAAGTTAAGTTGGTTATTTATAATAAATAAGTGTTGTCATTCCTAAAATATCCTTGCTAATTCAGTATATTGGCTAAAACTATCATTATTAGAAGGATTATCTTGGAAAAAAATGCATAAATATAAGAGACAAAATGGATTGGGGTCTTATAATTAGGACCAAATAAAAAGTCAAATGGGGTCTTATAATAAGGACCGGAGGAGTATTATGTATAAAAACTGCTCAGCTGACAACAAATTTGAAAGAACAAGATTCCTGTATTGAGATTTGCAGTGAAAAATATTGATGTGCTATATTTTTGTAGCATTTTCCCCAACCTATAGTCGTTATGATAATTGTTCATTGAGTTGGAGACACTATTTAGAAGAGGGAGAAGGCAAAAAGAAAGAAAAGAAAAGGAGGAATAATTTGCAGCTTCCAAAGTTTTGGTGGAATATAATTCAACAAAAGAATTCATATATAACTAAAATAACTGATTAACTCACCGATATTAAAAAATAGTTAAAACTAGTTTGAATTTTTAAATTTGTCACGAGTGAAAAGTATTTTTCAAAACCATCCTCCATTCAATGTTTAAAATTTTACACTCAATTTTAATGATGAGTAGTTAAAGCTCCTAATTAATGATGAGTAGAAGAAATGGCAAAAAAATAATAAAAGTAGAAAAAAAATTATTCAAGGCATAAGTGCATATTTGGAAGGAAAATTAGGGATAAATCCCTCATTGAAAATTTATTTGGTAAATGAGACCTAGGATGATTGATTGTACAAGGGAAGATTAGTTACACACAAAGAAAGGTAAGTTGCACAAAAGGAAGATAGTTTGCACAGAAAAGTATTGGATATAAGAAATTCGTTTGTACATAGGAAAAATGACTTGCACATAAAAGAATTTTATTTGCACAAAAAAAATTATGCTGCACATCGCACAAAGAAAGATAGTTGCACACAAGGAAAGATAGTTGCACACAAGGAAAGATAAATTGCACACAAACGAAGTTAAGTTGTACATAATAAAAATTAAGTTGCACAAAATTCTTAAATCGCATTTGCCAGTTAAATTTTTAATGAGGATTTATCCCCAATTTTTCCTATTTGGACTTTTAAATTTACAAACAACTCCATGTTTTTAATTATATAAAATGTCTTTTTAATTTTCTAACCCCATCACTGTTAGCGTGTTGATATTAAGAATTTTAAATATTGCCAAGACATTTACAAATGCTGATATATTGAGTTTAATTTTTAAAATAATCATAAAAATTTATCATTTAAAACTAACAATATTAAAGTTAGAGTGCTGAAAAGATACTTTATAAAATTAAAAAATTATAACCAAATTGAAATCTTATATAAAATTACAGGATCAAAATTATCTCTCTCTGTTTTTTTCCCTTCAAACCAAAACCACTCTCTCAAGTGTATTTATAGTCGCACAATTAGGAGAAAAAGACATGTTTATGAATGAAAGGTTAGTGTGAATGTCATTGCTCTTCATGCAATGGAGTTAGTGATGATTAATTGTGGGATGTACGTTTTTTGGTTTATTGGACGAACAAATGATGAAGAGTGAGATGTTTGTTGATTCATTTGAGAGAGAAATCTAAAAAAAAAAAAAAAAAAGCTTAAAATTATTGAATCTTAAATGAGAATTGTTTAGATAGAAATAAGTTTTGATAATAACAACACTTTAGTAAATTTTAATAATATTATATTTTTAAATAACAACACATTTTTGCAAAAAAATTTTATTTATAATTTTTAATTTTAAACTTTTTTTTTAATGAAATTCTCTCTTCATTTAATTTGTTTATTAAAAAAAAAGAATGAATCTCGTCATATTCAATGAACCAAAAATTACATGCGCACGCAATGAACAAGGGGATTTTAAATCACTTTGTGATGTGGGATCGCTGTGAGTAGTAACATATAGTACCTCTGATCCTAATTATAAGAGTTAGTTGACTAATTTGAAAAGATTAAGAAATAAATTAAGTTAGTTATTTGTAATAAATATGTGTTGTCTTTCTTAAAATATCCTTATTAATCAAATATATTAGTTAGAACTACTATTATTAGAAGGATTATCTTGAAAAAAATATATAAATATGAGAGACAAAGTAGATTGAGACCTTATATTTAAAACTAAAACAAAAATCAAATGAGATTTTATTTCAAGAAGTAGAGGTGGTACAATATTAGTGTCACTTTTTTAAGTTTAAGGATTATTAAGGAATTTCTTGATATTTATAAACAAGAAGTTAACGAAGGCTGCATTATATGCGCAGGAGAGCATAGTCATACACCGTTAATAAACAAGCGTGTTGGGTGAGCATCTCTTTAAGAGAATTTAAGTTAATACTAAGCATCTCCTTTGAGACTTTTTTTAAACGTAAGATTATGAGTTCAACTTTAGTAAATTGTATCATGAGTGTGTGAATTATAGGGAGAAAAATATTTGACCAATCAAACAATAGATGAGAAAATGGGAGACTTTTTTTCTCGTCCCAGATGATCCTTGTTCTCCTCTCTAGTGCATCTTTCTAGGGAGAATTATAATAAAGTCTCAAACAAGAAAAACGACTGAAAAACAAGTCTCATAAATTATCATTATCACTATAAGACTTATCATTATAAGCGGTTGAGGTTGTTATTAGGGCTTTTTAGTAATTATTTTTCTTCTATGAAACTTGATTGTAATTCTCTCATCTTTCTATGGAAAGTTGAAGCTAAAATCTCAGGTATTCAAAGGGGAAAAAAAAAAAAAATCTTACCATTATCATTGAAATAAAAAAATGGAAGTCATTTTTTTGTCATGACTCACTTGCGAAAACATTGTACAGGTTTAAACTCACAACATCATGCTTAAAAAGGATTTAATAAAGGCGTTTAAATTCATTAGACTACAAAAGCCTGACAGGAATTAAAAAGATTGAATACAATGAATTCTTTTGAGTTTAGGAAGAAAATGTAATGAATTACCTGGTTGTGGAGTAGCACTCTGGTCTTTCACTTTCATTCCAATGGCTGTCTTCTTCCTTGGAGATAATGGCAGTAAAGTTGTGGGATTTTGCAGTAAAGATGTTGATATTGGGAAATTGCACAAGAATATAAGGAATTGAGGAATAGTGTAGCCAAGTGATGGTCACTAAAATAGGGACAACTATGCAGCACACAGTGAACAATGCTCTGAGTCTCTCAAATCTCAATCCTGTTTCCACCATTATTGTGACCTCAAATAATCTTACACTGTTTTTAAATTGCAGCTTTTGCTATATAAACACCAAATAGTGAGCTTGGGTTGGCCTGGGAAAAACGTGATTTTTCATATTGCCAATACACTACTCCCTCCGTTCCTTATTATAAGAGACATTTGATGCTTATAGCATGTTCCTATATATAAGAAACATTTAAAAGTTGTCTCTACTTTTTTGTATTGATTTCTTATTTTACCCATATTTATTATCTCCAACTCAAACTCTCTCTCTCTCTCTCTCCCACTTCTCTCTTTTTTAATAATTTCATTGTTCTTTCTCATGCTATCTCTCCTTATTAATGAGCGCATTTTTGGAAAAAAATTATACTTTTTACACATTAATTGTTCTTAACTAATTTTAACTGTTTTTTTTATCAACATACTTCGGTTATTCGTCTCTTATAATAAGAAACGGAGGGAGTATTAAATACCTGCTCAGTTGGCCATGACTCATAAATCACAGATCATATTCCCCCTCCCTTCTCCTAAATCTTAAATATAGGTAGCTTTTAGCTGGTAAAAAAAAAAAAAGGTTGCTTTCAAACGAATAGTTTGATTGAAAGTAATTAATGCTGGTTTATTAATTTTGTCTTAAATGTTACTTTTTATATTTTTCTTTTTTCTTCACAATCTCATTTAATATGATTAAACGAGTAAGGTTGGAATTTTTTTTAATTTGAGATAGATTTAATAAATTAGCTACCATGTTTTGATTTTGATGAATTAATTAAAGTAACTTATATTGTGAATTAGAGGGAGTAGCGTTACTTCTTTCAGTCATTTTTATAAGATCTTTTTAATTGAATTATGCGATTTGAAAAAAGTTAAAATTAGTTAAAAGTTATAAATATGTAAGAATTGAACATTTTTTCTCAAATATATCTTTATTTACTAAGAAAAAATAAGAGAGAAATATCAATAATGAGATAAAGAATAAAAGAGAATGTATGAGACAAATATAAAAAGACAGAATAAAAAATTAATTAGGACTAAATTTAGTAAAAATATATTTAATGTTCAGACATCTCTAGACAAGATCTTATAAAAAAGACAAAACCAATTTAAATTTTGAGATGTTATATTTTTTTGGTCATCAAATATTTTTAGATCTTATGAAAAGCATAGTAGGCGGTATTATTTTTTCTGATAAAGTTGAAAATGAAAATTTTTTTGCCAACAAGATGAAAATGATATTAATTAAAGGAGAAGGCAGAATCATATTATTCATTCACCTTTGTAAGGGCCTTAAATGCCTCTAATTATTCTTTTGGATTCTGTGTAACAAATGTTCCCTACCATAGGGCTTTTCTTAAAACAAAGTAATAGTGTCCATTCCCTAATATAAGTTATTTAGGAATTATTAATTAATATTTGCTAATTTTTTCTCTATTATACTCTCTCCGGTTCAAAATATAAATTAAAATTTATCCATTTACATTTATCAAGAAACTAGTTAAAATTAGTTTAAAATAATAAATATGTAAGAGATGTATTTTCTTTTCTAAATACGTCTTTATCAATGAAGAGAATAAGTAAAAGATGTAATAAATGAATCAAAAAGAAAAAAATACATAAGGGGTAAAATTTAAAAAAACTCATTAAATACTTATACAAAAGTGAATGTTATCTTATTAAAAAAAAACCAAATCCCACCAATAAAATTTAGCATATATTTTGAATCGGAAGGACTAGAGTATTAAAAGAGAATTTAAATAATTCTCTCTCTCTCTCACTCATGCAGAGAAGTTTGTAACTAACTGTGCAATATGGTACCATCAATCTTTGCAGTAGGACATTGGTGAAATGCTAATCAACTTTGTACTGGCTTTCTTTGTTGTTTAATAAATATTTTAGATCATTACCCAAAAAAATGAAGCAAACTTTTTAACATCTCACACAATATTTGGAGAAAAAAAACAAATAATGTCATCTACATTTAATTTCTCTTCCCCTATATATAAGTTGCAACTTTTGGGATAGATTATCATTTTTTATAAATTACTATTCCGGTCTTTATTATAAGTCTTTATAAGAAATATTTTTTTTTGGGGTGAGATTGTAGGAGAGATTTTTGATTCTAAATATAAGTTACTTATAGGGTATTAATAATCCTTTTTTTAATTTTACCTGTATTTAATTTTTGGAAAGAAAGAGAAAAAAATTGATAATAATTTGTAAACATAGGGTGAGAGAAAACTATAATGATTATAAGCTTGAAAGTTTTCATTGGCAATTGCTCTTCATACATATTAGAAAAATTAATTCATTCTTTTATTTCTTACATGTTTATGCATTAATTTTGCGCTTTCATCCTCTCCAAGTAATTTTTAATTTATTTTGTTTAATGCATTTATACTTTGACTCTGTTATAACTGTCAGCCCGTTGGCCCAAGAAAAAGGGACAGCAAAATCCCCTCTCAACCCTCAAAGCTTTCAATCCAACCGTCGCGTAGAGATTGGCGCCGCTCCGCCGCTGACGCTCACCTCCTATTGCCGTCGCATCTCCGCTCCGGCAAGGTAAGTTTGCAGTCCTTCCACCTTGCAATCTCTGTGCTCTGCTTGTGGCTGAATGTGACAGTCTGCGTACCAAATAAAATCATCCTTGGGCTGTTTTTGAACCTTCCGAAACCATTTTTGCTGTTGATGGTCTTCTATCCCGGTCTAGTGATCATTTTCGTTGATGGTCACAGTTTTAGTAATATGCTCGCGCCATCGATTAGTTCTCTGCTCATTGCCTGCTCTGAAAAGTACATACTGTGATTTTAATTTCTCAAATTGTTTTTCTTACATTTAGTTATGTTTTTAATGATTTAATATGTTTCAATTCTGTTTCCCACATTTGCTTCCTTTGTTCTTTTTCCATGTTTTGTGCCCTTGTACTTGTTCCTTATTTTGTTCTTAAACACATCCTAATTATTTTGGCCTTATTTACAGATTCAAAGCTGAAGCTATGAAAGCGTTCAAGATTAATGGAAGCACTCTTTCCCTTGCACTTTTCACTGATGTCACCAATTCAAAGTTAGTCTTCTTTCCGTGTGATAATTAAAAATGAGAATTTTTCACATAAAGTTGCATTCTTGTATTGTTCACCGTGCTTGCTTTTTCCCACTTTTCCCTTCTCCAAATGTTTAACTGATTGTGGGAATGTTACGAAGTTTTAGTTTGAAGTTTTGATTTTTTGCTCCTGTCAGCTGTCAAGTAAAGCGGTATTGTTACGAGGTATTTTGTAGCATTAGGTTAGATTGTTTTCATTTTGGGCAACGGTCAGACAGCTTAGTGACCAGATGTTAGAGGTCATTTGACAATTTCAGCTGAAGGTTTTTGGAGTTAGTGTTTTCAGGTTTAAACTGCCTCATCTTCTTTTAATAACCTGATTGTGGGAATGTTACGAAGTTTTAGTTTGAAGTTTTGATTTTTTGCTCCTGTCAGCTGTCAAGTAAAGCGGTATTGTTACGAGGTATTTTGTAGCATTAGGTTAGATTGTTTTCATTTTGGGCAACGGTCAGACAGCTTAGTGACCAGATGTTAGAGGTCATTTGACAATTTCAGCTGAAGGTTTTTGGAGTTAGTGTTTTCAGGTTTAAACTGCCTCATCTTCTTTTAATAACAACTTTTGGTGTTAGTTGCACTGTTATTGAAGAACATACGAATATTTTGATTAACCAGTTTTCTGCAGTCATTTTAGAAAATGGTAATCACAAAATATTGTGCTAGTTGCTAGTGGCTATTGGGTAATTGTTAAGAGACCATTGCAGACTTATTTCAGAAGAAGAAAGCATCAGAAACTGAATTAGCAGAATAAGGAACCATAATGTCTGTTGAAGTGGTTCCCAATTATTTTCTAGGTATTGAAGTTTGTTTCAGAGGTTTTAGGGATTTTTCAGACTTCATTTAGTTATTTCAAATGTATTTTCAGTTCTTTAAATAGGCTAACCACTGCAGAATCTAGTCATTCAGAAATTAAAAACCCAGTTTATCCCCTTTGGAGATTCTCCTGATTATTTGATTATTGAGAAATTGTAGAGTGAGATTCTTGCTCTATCTTTTCTTATTAGAGTTATACATCCTCTTATTTCCCTATCAGTTCAGAGCACTTATCAGTAATACAGCAACCTGGAGGAGCTAATTTTGTTGAATAAATTGTAAGAAAAAAACATATCTATTTATTTTTGTTAAGATAGTTTGTATATGCTACAATTAAGTTTGGGAACATGATCTTAGTCATTAGTTAAAGTATGAGATGCAATTTCTTGTTCTTGCAGGGAGCTCTTAGAAAGTATGCAAGCTGCAACATTGGAACCAGAAGTTGCATTCCTCAATGCTTTACTTGTAATACTTAATTTTATTTATGCAGTAACTATAGTCTCCTTCCTTTTTCTAGTTCAGCTTTGTTGCTGTCTCTTTTCCCAGAGCCAAGTCCAGCCCCACTTATAAGATGATAACGAAAGCATAATATTGGTTATGAAACTGTGGACAAGTGGTGAAACCTTATTCCATCTTTCTATTGTTCTCTCTTTTGTCAACTGAACCAGATTCCAGATGTATTTCCTGTTCTAGCTGCTGGCCACAAGACGCTCATAGCCAAGTCGCGGGATTCTTTGACAACGCGCACGCTTCATTCAGAGCTGGTTTACAATTACTCGGGATCCAAGCATGTAATTTTTCTAATGTTGTGTTACCTGTAGTTTTTCATTGTTCTATGTGATAGAATATGAACCTTGTCGAGTTATGGCTAGATTACAGAGTCGTTGAAAAGATGCGGCATCTCTGATACCACAACTTACATCCTTGCTGCTCGTTTTGATGCTACTCCTGAGGAGGTGAGATATTTCTGCAATAAGGAAGTATGACACCCTTTTTGCTTATCACACATTACTAGAAAGTGATCCTGAAGATATTTCTCCTTGTTTTAAGATGAAAGCAATTGAGAAGTTAATTAATGGGAAAGAGGTTGACCTGGAAGAGCTGGAAGCGAGAGCAAACCAGGCCCAGATACAAAAAGTTTGCATCTACACTTAATCGATATCACTTTCTATCTTTCCTTTTGTACATAATAGCATAATCATCAATTTTGGCTATGTTTCAGCATTACAAGATCTCTGGCCCAGAGCTTGGTGTGTCATCACTTGCAGATGCAATCACTTGCCGTATAGCTGCTCGTGATGCGTTGTGAGGAATGATTGTCATCTGCTAATGCTATTCGCTTTTTATTGAGTTCCATTTGTGAAAAAATGGAATTGTAAAAGGAAGCTTTCAGCTCCTTTGCTGGCCGGTTCGTCTTTTCACATCTGTTGTCTCTGTACTTCCTTTTTCCATGTAAAAAAAAATGTCACATTAGCTGTAGAAAATGAGTATTAACCCATACCAATGGGAAACCCAGTTAGGCAGATATGGTTTATGTCAAGGTGGTTGAACTCTCTGCTTTGAAAACTATGGTTTCATAAATTACATGGAGCTGAATAGTGATGCCATGTTATTATTCGTTGATTCTTAAACAAGCTAAAGAGAAGGAGTTGGGTCGTCTTAATTAGTTAGTGATGCTAAATTGATGTTGGATATGGTGAACAGTACCAAGAAAGCTCTTATTGGGGCAATCTCTCCCACCCCTACGGTTAGTGTTATAAATCATTTATAATCCAATATCCATTCTTATATATCAAGAATAATAGTTAAGCTATTATTAGCGGTAGCAAAACTAGTTTTTATTCCAATTAACTTTTGTAAACTTAAGTTAGAATAAAAGTCAGCTAGCGTAATGTGATTTATATTTAGATCGATGCTTATAAAAAGTCAGTTAAAAAGTTAAAACTTGTTTGGATGATTAATAGAAAAGTAAATTTACATGTAAAATTAAATAGTAGTGTTTTATATTATATGATTTTAATGTGATAACTGTTAAAAAAATAATGAGAATTATAATTATAAAATAAAAATATTTGTTAGTGAGAAATTATAATAGGGATTTTAAATTAATAAAAAACATTTAAATAAAGGGTTTGTATGCACAATTAATTTGCAAAGTGCTACTACTCTATGTGTATAAAAATTTATCAAGTCTTTATCACATTAAATTTTTAATGAAGATTTTTTTTTTCAATTTTCTCTAAATTTATTATTTAATTTTTTTTTGTTTGTATACTCTTATAAACGTATTTTTCTAATTCTATTTATAAGACACTTTTAGCTTGTTTAACACAAATTAAGAAAAATTTTAATTTATATTAACTCTTCAATAAAATATAATAACTTTTCAAATTTACCCTATTTAATATATATACACATTTTTAAAAAAAAAACTATATACACTATAATAAATAAATGACAAAATTGTATATTTATGTCAAAAAATTTAATAAAGTGACATATAAATAGGACTAGAAAATTTTCTCTTTTTACCTTATAAATAGAATTATAGAAGTATATAATTATTGAGTATTTTTGGAGTAATTTTTATTTTTGTTAAAATAAAGTAGGACCTATTTTAAGACACTTATATCTCATCTCATGGACATCCTTTTTCGCTCTCCACGGTGATTTTTTTCCTAAAAGCTACAAATTTTGGCTTTTACTTCAGCCTAACTTTTTTTTAAAAGCCCATTTGCTCAAAAGTTAATCCAAACAAGATCTCACCCATAAATAAGCTGCTATCCCAATGCACATTTTTCCTTCCCAACGGCATTTCAAACATGCCCTAAATGTTTCAAATTAATAAACTTTCTTAAATTTGTCCTTATTAAAACTTTCCCGTTCTCTCTCTCAGGTGTCTTTAAAACTGTGCATTTGAGAATTAATATCAAAGATCTCTTAATGCACTTGATAATATCAACAAGCCTAGTTCACTTATTTGAGAAAGTTAATGTTTTTGCTTTTTCGGTAAACTATGTCAATGCATGAACGGAAGCATATTTTTATAAATCTTGATTGGTTAAGCAATACCTAATAATAAAATCACCAAATAGCGAAGTACCACAAGTAGTAAAATTTGAAGAAAGTATGGTCAAAGGCTGAAAGGTAAACACGTATGATACAAATCTAGCGGGAACCCATATAACGATAATAACTGTCTTAACTTCCGAATTCTACGTCTTCAATCAATTTCTTCTCCTTTCTGGATTTCTCTACTTTCCCATTTCTCCACAAACCTTCATTTACCTGTTCGAACATTCATTGTAAGTCCTCGCACTTTCTGTTCTTTCATTTTATATTATTTTTTCCCCTCAATTTGATTTCAGTTATAATCTGTTAGCCAAGAGGTTTTAATTGTTTTTAATATCCCGTGTTTTTTCAATGATGAGAGTGAACAAATCAATGATTCAATGGGCAGAATCGAGGTGAATTTCTTCTGCAGAAAAGAACAACCGCTATGAAAAATATGTCTCTGTAAATTTAACATTCTCATCTGATGAGCAATTCTTCAAATTACATACAAACACAACAAATTTTTTTTATCATGTTTGCGTTGCATTTTTAGTTTATATTAGGATTGTGTTGAATATAAATAATCATTTTAACTGGGCTCAAGTTATCGTCCGAGAAGGTTTATTACAATATTAATAATGCCAAACATTGGAAAGAATATAGCATTGTTTGTCATGTCAGAATGTTTATCGGTAATTATATAGCATTACCAATAGGATTGGATTAGTAAAAATCTCTCATAATATGACGAATCAATATTTGAAAAGGTTTTCTCATTTAATAAAAAAAATATTATATGGCATTGGAATCAAAAAAAAAATTATATCGCATTGGAAAGCCATGACAAATTATTCTTGGTGAGGCTTCTTGTGCGTGATTGTTGGAAAAATTTTGCAGTAATTTCCTAGAATATAGCACTATTTATCATTTAAAATGTTTAGCGTGTTGAAACGTCTTAGACTCTACAGCTCTGATAGCTAGCTTTTGAGATGTGGTTCTCCTAAAGATTTTAGACTATTTTTTTTTTTTTTGGCCAAGATCAAGGACTAAAATATTTGAGCAGAATTTCTTCAAATGTGTAAATACATGTGTAGTATCGGTAGGATGTGTAATATGCTGAAATCTATATTAATATGGATTCATAAGAATTTTGCTACACTTTGCAGCCGCTTTATGCAGTGAAGAAACATGAAAGATTGTGGCTTGTTCAGGAGGTTAATTACTATACAGATGCTGATGTGATTTCTTCAGTATGTTCAACTCCTGCTACAATTCATACGGCCAGAGGGATAAATTTGTGAGGTACACAGTGCACAAGTAGAGTGCGCGCGCATTGATGTTTCATGGGGAAGATATTGAAAGTGACTGATTTCAGAACTCATACCCCAGTGGTTCCTATTATAAGTTTCCTCCAACTACTTCATCAGAACCAAGGAGAGATGGTTAAATCATTAAATTTGTTTGAAAATGAAACAGTTTTTTAAATTTACCCTCATTTAAGACCATGAATTATATCTTAAGAATCGGGAGAAAAAAATTGCATCAAACTTTAAATGAGAACAATCTTGAAAAAATAATTAATACCTTTCTTGGTTGGCTTGTAAGAATAAGGACCACATATTCCTTTTAGAAAGTGACTTATAATAGGTGTTAGAGTGGTAAGTCATAATACACCTTGTTTGTGTTAGTTGTTGAAATAAGCATCCAATGGTGATGATACAGGTTGGATGATCTTGATTCTAACACTTCAGTACAATCCAGCCCAAGTGGAATCATGAAGAAGCTCAGATTTAATATAGAGGGCAAGCCCATTTCTGGTCGTGAAAATAAGAATGCATCAAAATCCTTTAGGATGGGAATGAAGAGAGGATCAGATGGACTAAAGACATTTGGAAGATCACTGAAAAGTGGAGTCACCTGGCAAGTTTTCCCAGAAGATCTTAAAGTATCAGAGACTAAAATATTCGATCCTCAAGATAAGACCCTTTTGTTGTGGAACAAGTTTTTTGAGCTTCTATGTATTATTTCAGTGTCATGTGATCCTCTCTTCTTTATCTTCCTACTTCAACCTCAGATCTCACTGCCTTGCCATTGATACTGCTCTTGCATCTACTGCTATTATTCTGAGATCGGTACTTGATGCTATCTATCTCATCCGCATGGGTTTCCAATTCCGGACTGCTTATATTGCACCATCCTCTCGGGTTTTTGGACGAGGTGAACTTGTGATTGATCCTAAAAAGATTGCCAAGAGATACCTTGGGCGTTACTTCATTGTTGATTTCAGTTCTGTGCTGCCATTGCCACAGGTTGGACAAATTATTATCATCAGCTTCTTGTAGCCACTGCTTTGCTTCAAGGGTTATTTCTCCCCCACCTGTAATAATTCCATTGAAAAACCTAATGACAAATACCTAACTCATTCTATTTAAGTTTAGTCCAAGAATATATCAAATAAAAAGTCTAGTCCAAGGAATAATATTAGAGACAGGATCTAAAACCCCACGCTAAGTCTTATTTTGGGAAACACTCTCTTCCTCTGAATGACTGAATGTAAATCAAATTTGACATAGTATTGCATAGATACTTTGTTTGAAGTGTTATAAATATATCACAGCTGCAAAATGAATGAAACAAGCTAAAAGCTGCTGACTGGGGAAGGAGAGTCCAGGACTTTTGCCACAAAAAGATGAGCTGCAGTTCACTTATGATTCTGCTAAGGATAGAGATGATAAATTATCATATTTTGAATAGAATTGAAGGATTGTTTTAGCCACAGTCACACCCTTGTCTTTGGCTACTGAAATTAAGTATTCTAGTATGGTATGGAAATTTGTCTCCAAGAAGTGGTGTTATGTATAGATGTTTTCAGTGCAGATTGTGGTGGCCAACTATCTTCAAAAAGCAAAAAGTTTAGAGGTGTTAGCCACAAAAACGACGCTATTGAGAGTGGTCATCCTCCAATATATTCCGAGATTTGCACGCTTTATCCCTTTAGCTACTGAAGTTAAAAAGACAGCTGCTGTCTTCTCTGATAATGCACTCGTGGGTGCCACCTACTATTTGGTTTGGTACATGCTTGTTAGCCATGTAAGTCCATCTTTCATGAATTCACACATCTCATTATGTTTCAATATGAGTTGTCCGAAAGTTAGAGTTATGAAAGTAAGTGTTGTGACTTACCAACGGATGCTGAGTTTAATGGCAAGGCTAGTTCCTCTAGCAAACTAAGGTTCAAATTCCTGTTGAAGGAGGTGCCCATATTTAATACCTAAACATGCCTAAAAAAAGACTCCCTCCAATAGGAGGATACACATGAGCAATCAAAAAGGAAAGTGTTGTGATTGTATTGTGTTGTGTTTGTGTGATGTGACAGATAGTAGGGTCTGTGTGGTACTTACTAGCTATCGAACGAAATGACACGTGTTGGCAGAAGGCTTGTGCTGCTGCTGTTACTCAAGGATGTATTCCACATTTCTTATACTGTGAGAGTTCAAATAGGCGCCATCCTGGATATGAAGCCTGGAAAAATGTGAATGGGGATATTCTCGACAGGAATTGTG